CAGGCCTAGCACTCACCCACCTGTCACTCACCCACTCGGGTGACACGGGCCTAATGTTGACCCACCTGTAACCCACCCAGGCTGGCTTGCCTTGACCCGCCCTCATCCCACCCAAGTCACCTTATCAAGACCCGCACCTGACCCAATGTCCTCGTGGGTGGGGTGGGTGCAGGTGGGTGCGGGTCTGGGTACCCGGTGCTCATCTCTGATTTTGACAATTTTGTAGATATGAACGGTCTTATCACAAATGTATGGCTTCTAAATTACGAATATGTTCGCATTTGTCAGACGGAAACAACAGTCAGTATTCAGTGGAGACTACTACTTGTATTCTGGCGATAACAAAATTTGTGATCATTTACTATACCACTAAATTTTTTGGAGTCCATAAAATAACGTCAAACACACATACATTCTGGCGAAAATTGGTTTCCGAATTGCGAATAAGTACACAATGGTCATAGGGAAACAACGGTCAGCATTCACTGGAGACACTAAGGAGGGTGGTTGAGGGGAGGAGGGCACAGCAGAGGGGGTGAATCGAAAAATGGGGCAGTACGTGCAGAAGAGGGGTGAGCGAAAATATGTGAAAACTGGGCGCGAGGGGGGGGGGTTCAGACCATAAAGTCTCGCGTAAGAAAGAGATAAGCATAAAACAATTTGGCGACCAAGGAGAAATCATTGATATCTTTCACCAACATCTTGCTAAATGAACTCTGAGATAAGCACGAAACAATTTAGCGACCAAGAAGAAATCATTGATATCTTTCACCAACATCTTGCTAAATGAACCAAAGTATTGAGTCCTATGAGCACGAGTGTAAAGAATGTCCACAAAATGACAAAGATTTCTCATGAGTAACACAAGAGCACAACCTGGAAACGAATAAAGGCAGCATGACGCTACCGCGGTCGTAGAGGACATAAGGAGAATAACCCGAAAACAAACAAAGGCAGCACGAAGCTGGGATATTCACATCCCATTTCTAAGTGTCTACTTCAAAGATACTGAACCACGTGGCTATGATATTGACATCGACATTTAAGCGTCTACTTCACCTAAGCGTCCGCTGCAACCCTCTAGCTGATAGCGAGTGGCAAGGAATGAGAATAACCTGAAAACAAACGAAGGCATTACGACATTGGCGGGGTTCAAAAAAACTGGTTGCACGAGGCTGCGCCATTTACATCGAAAAACTAAAAAAACAAGAAAGTCAAAGAAAGTCCTACGAGTAAAGTTGTCAGATTCCTCGAAATGAAGAACCCTAAAAAATACTGCAGTACGAGGCCGGAATATTCATATCGACATCTAAGCGTCTACTTGATCAAAGTGTCCACTACAATCCTCTACCTCATCAAAACAACACCACAGCACGAGCCGGCCGACTGCTGGACTAAGTGGGAATAGATTCACACTTCTGTTTATGGCCTTGTGAATAAAAAACTTTGCGTTTTTTCAAAATATAGATATTATTATGAGCCCTGGAGTATATCCACAACAATCCTCAGCCTTATGTTTGGAATGTCGCTTTGGTCTACCGGAAATGGTGACGGATGACCGCGTGCCAGAAAAGAAGCGAAGGCGAGCATGAAAACACCGCAGCTCGACCCGTCCGACTTCTGAGGGACACCATGAACAACCACCTTGGGGTCCGGGAGAAGTAGTTTCGTGTGTTGACCAAGTTGATAAACTGCTTCGTCAGTGAGATATTTTGTGAAGTTGCCAAATACATGGGAAGAAAAACCGACATCGTCTTGTAGGAGGGAGTCGTAGTACTCCAGCCCTCCTTCGCGAATGCATAATAAGGTCCAGTGCACTCAATTTTTATGAACAGGAATCATTAGCATGTCGTACGAAAAAATATTTTCATCTTTTGTCCATCTCGCAACCCTATCATGTCGACATCCCTCATCGACGAGCTTGGTATAGAAAAATGGATTGAAAATATAAACAGAGGGATACCCCGGCAACGTAGAGTTGCCAAGCAAGGCTAAGTAGGACTCCACCACCTCGTCGCAAAACCATCCCCCCTGGACAAGAGTTTGAAGATTTTTTATGCTCAACAGAATAAAACTGGTCCCTTTGCGAATCGAGAAAACCACCTCGTGGTCGTTGCTGAAATCTCCGCAGACGTCCTCCAACATTCTCAAGTCTGTACCGGTAAGCTCCTAAGTAGGCAATGTTGCGCGAAAAGATGATGTAGCCCCAACTGCATAAACACCCACGAACAAGTGTGAGGAGCCGCCAAAACCACCGGGGCGAATTGGTTAGGAACTATATGCCTTTGTTCTAGAAAAGTTATAACCCGGACTGCTGAATGTGTCCTTGACGATGTACTTAGGATACGGGTCTTTGACGATACCCGGTTTGACATCGTCATCAGACCCATTAGACAAAGCAGTAACGCTTTCAATAGACGCAACCACATGTTTTTGCAAAGCTTCCTCCTTATCTATTCCACAAGTCTTCAGAACTCTGACAACTTTCTCGAGAATGCTAGGCATTTTGACCCTTTTAAACAACCCTACACTTGACGATGACTTCTTCGGTAACGCGGCCAATGACGTCCCTGGAAAAGATTTCCCGCGCATAGCTTTTGAAGGCTTCATGGGCAGGAACATTGACAACCTCACACCTGTAAAACATAGAAAACAACCCACAACCCACAAGTTTTTTTTTAACAAGTGGTAATAGCTACATGAGCCCATCATACCAATCTGGATGAACACAGAGCTGAATAGTGACGGATATGCGAGTGCTACTATTCACAAATCTTATCGTGCTCGGGAGTCCTTCGAGGGAAATCGCCCTCCTGTCGCGCCACTGTGCCAACGTCCACGGAGGATTCGATGTTCTGCACCTCGGCTACGCCTGAGTCGCTAGCCAACTCGATGGCAGCTGGGTCGCTAACCAACTCGATGGCTTCATGAAGTACCATTTCCCGACTGGTACTGAGGACAGACGCTCAATCACCTTGTTCTTCACTGCAACAGGTGAACGGAGAATCATGATCTTTCCGCTCTGGATCCATCTGGACACTGACCGACACCTCACCGCCAAAAAAACAAGCTTCCACCACGGGTTTTTCGGCTTCCTCATCTCCATGAAGCCGAGCTTCCAGCACGGGTTCTTCTTCGCCTTCCTCATCGCCAAGAAGCCGAGTTTCCACAAACGTCCACGCACGTCCTTCCTCCCCACGGTCTTTGCCTTCCACAAACATCCACACGCGTCCTTCCTCCCCACTGTCACCCTCTTGTGTCGTCGCCACAGCCGACCCACTGTGCAAAAACTCTTTGGTGTCCTCAATGTTGATGGCATTTCCCGACGAGCCATGGAGAAGTTCGTCTTCCCGCTGCATAGTATGCCCTTCCTGTGAGAGTTCCTCTTCCCTCGGAGCTGCTGTACTCTTGCTCTCAAAATCGACGGACGCACCCTCCGAAGCATGACATTTATGCTCGCTAGCCCCGGTTTCCAACACTCCTGCATCGAGCCCTCCAGCGCTTTGCGAGCCGGCCAGTGTTCAGTCACCTCTTCCCGCTGCACATCATGCGCTTCCTATGAGAGTTCCTCTTCCCCCGGAGCTGCTGTACTCTTGCTCTCAAAATCGACGGACGCACCCTCCGAAGCATGACATTCATGCTCGTTAGCCCCGGTCTCCAACACTCCTGCATCGAGCCCCTCCATCACTCTGCGAGGCGGCCAGTGTCGAGTCTCCTCTTTCCGCTGTACATCATGCGCTTCCTGTGAGAGCTCCGGTTCCCCCGGAGCTGCTGTACTCTCGCTCTCAAAGTCGACGGGCGCACCCTCCGAAGCGTGACATTCATACTCGCTAGCCCCGGTCTCCAACACTCCTGCAGCAAGCCCCTCCAAAACTTTGCGAGACAGCCAGTCTGGAGTCTCAACACTTGAGAACGGCAGTGAGCAGGGGAACACTGTGCCCAACTGAAGATGCGGGGGGTTGGACCTCACATTTTCTTCGCCCCGCAGAACTGTAGCGTGAGGAGCACTGTTGGCGGAAGGCCCGCAGGGTGACGTCAGTAACTCTGAATCTATTAGAACTGTGCGGCGAGCACTGCTGGCGGAAGGTCCGCAGGTTGACGTCAGTAACTCCGAATCTATTCGCACTTTACGGAACTGAGGGAACTGACGCTCGCACTTTCGGTCCTTCACAATGCAGGCATCCTGGCCTCCAAGCAAAACGAAGACGCAGTTCCCGGTAAGGAATGGTTTTGCCGCTCAGGAGATGCTGTCGTACGTTGCAGACGTTTGCCTTCTTCCAAGAGGCGCAGGAGCAAGGTGTTGTTTACAGGATACGCCTGCTGAGCACTGTGGCACAGACTCTCCTTGACATCTCGAAACAAAGTCCTCGCAGACAAGTGCGAATCTACTCGCACTTGATAAGACCGCACGTCGGAATCTCGACTCCCTTCGCAGTGGCTTTCAGTTCCCCTAGACTCGCCACTCCCGAATGCTCTACACTTTCCGCCAAACCCCTTTCCGCTCGACCCCTTTCCGCCCGACCCCTTTCTGCCCGACCCCTTTCCGCCAAACCCATTTTCGCCGGACCCTTTTCTGTCGGACCCCTTTGATACCGACGACATTTCGGCTGACCCCTTTCCGACAGATCGCTTTTGTCGAGAATCCTCTCCGCCCGACCTCTTCCCCTCTGCTTTGTCAACACCAGATCCTGAGCCGTCTCCTCCGTCACCTCCTCCACCGCCTCCCGGATGCTGACCACCGGCCGGAGGTTGAGGCATGTGTCAACCAATGCCACGAGACAGTGTCGTTTCAAGTGTGTAGAGGTGCTCGAAACTCCAACATTTTGTTGTCGTAGAGATCGTCGAGCTTTTCGCCTGCATACGCGTTGACGTCTTGTGGGCTCCTTTTGGGGTTTACTACACTCAAATGCTCCACTAGAGCTTCTCTGCCCTTTTTCTTAAATGGACCCGCTCCCAGTTTGTTCAGGGCACTCCACTTGTCGTCGGCTTCCTTTATTGCCATGACCCACGTTTCATGCTTTACAGCAGGTTGGAATTTCCTGGGGTGCCAGACGACGTTGTGGCCCCAGACATCGTCTGCTGTGAACCGGTGGTGCTTCTAGTAGAAGAAGAGCCTATCATTCTCCCAGGTATCATGATCCTTAGGGAGCTTGTCAACAACTGCGTATTCATAGTCTCTCTCTTCTTCCCCGTCATCTCTCTCTTCTTCCCCGTCATCAGATGATTGCTCCTCGATTGTTTCGCGTTTAAATACACCCGAGGCTCATCATTAACTTGTGTCACCACCCGAGGAAGTGGCATGGACTCGAAATCGAAGGTTTCGGAGTCGCTCACCTCCTTTATGTCTTCAGCGTCGAAAGGCTCGTCCTCGTCAAACTGCGCCTTGTAGTTCTCGAGGGTTAGTGGTTCTGCCATCAAGAAGAAAACGTGCTCCAGCCTTTTCAGGAAATTTGAGACAGACTCCCTGCGTGCATCGTGGTAACCATTCAACACACTGAACACCAGGTTTCTTCGTCGATTGTATTCAAGGTCGGTCTGAGCAGGCGGTTCTGGTTGGAAAAGGAACTCCCAAACCTCCATCCTTTTGTTCTTCGGCAATTTCCAATACATGTCACGTTTGGGATCCCAGTTCCGTTCGCCGGTGCTTTGGACAAAAGAGCAATGGTTGCGAGCGTCCCCCACGCGTGTCTTCACGAACTCATGAAGGTAATTGATCATCTTCGCCTCGTCCTCTAACACAACGACATTCTGACCGCTACACAGGAGTTCCCACACGACAAATGCATGCGCCTTCCCGAAGAAGAAAACAGTTTGCCCAACTCTACAAAAGTTTTTCAGTAGACCAATTAGATGAGCTGGGTTTCGTTCCCTATCCCCGTAAGCATTCCTCGAACACTTGCCACACCGCTGTCCTCCCACTGGCTGCGAGGGAACTTGTCCTCGTCTGCCACGTCGAGACAGACCACAGCCTGTCCCGAAGGATCGAAAGAACAACCAGCTTTCGAGCGGGCCGCCCCCGCGGGCTTAGTCGGGCTTGGAGCATTCGCACGGGGGCGCTTGGATGGACTACCGGATGAGAACACTGCGACCGTGTTGTCTGCCAAGTTCTCGCCATTGAAAACGACGTAACGGCGATCATATTCCTGGACCAAAGTATTGCCTTCCCAGACTGTGGCCTTCCTTTGTGCATGGTGCACCCACTTCCCTGTCCTCACGTGGTGAACACTAAGCTTGGCCATGCCTTTCAAGAAACTGAGCTCCCAACGTGATGGGAAGAAGACCACAAGTGTCCAGTGCCTTGGCGATAGGGTTCGGAGAAGGCCTTGCAAGGAGGCGAAATCGCTTTCTTGCCAATCTGATAGGAGTGTGAGATCACACAAATCGAGGACGTAGAAGTTGCATATGTAATGTCGCACTATTTCGTGGATCTTTGTGAGACGAATATGAGTTTGGGAAGGCGGACAACCGAAAGAAATAAGGTTGGTAAAGCGGTTGAGCTTGTGCCATTTGATGTGCTTCACATCCCCGCTGACCCTGATTGTGTCTTGGACTTCTTCCTCTGTTCGTCGCAAGATGGAGCGGACGGACTTCTCGAAGGATGTAGGAAACCTGTCATCATCGTGCAGTTTCTTCGTTTCATCGAGGGACTCCTTCTCGTGCAGAAAACAACGTTTGCAAGTGTTCATGTAGTCCATCGTGCTGTGGAAATGCTTCCTCAGTTCGACTGATACCTGCTTTGTGAGGCCCTGCGGCGCGAACTCTGCCAGAAGCTGCTCTTCGGTCCGAAAAAACTGGCTTCCATAGCGCCAAACATTCAAGGAACAAGATGCAGTGGAACATGAGGAGCATCATTCGATCCACTTTCCTCGTCGCAACCATCTTTTTAATTCCCCGCTTATGTTGTCGTTTGAGACGCTCGCCCGCCGATTGCACGAACACTCCCTTAAGCGCGAGAATGTCCTCGAGGATCGATAATTTTTCGTCATCGGTCATGTCAGCGAGACATTGCCAAACAGAACATGTCTGGCTCCTTCACGACGACGAAAAACTTGTCGTCCAATTGCGTTTTATTTTTTGTCTGAGGTGGAGGAACCCGGACTAGCCACCCCATCTTTGTCTCACCAGCTGCCCTTTTCACGCCCATTTCCAGAATCGTTTGAAGCCCCGAAGATTTGTCTGGCATGTATTTGTCACGTCTTCCCGTCTCCACCTAACAACTTTTCCTCGACCCACTTCTCGTAAAACTCCATGCCTTTACGAAAAACCTCATCACCGGCCGTCACGAGCGACATCCATTGCCTTAATGCATTGCAAATAGCTGCAACTTTCTCCTTGTCGGCGAGCGTGTCGGATTACGTGCCATCCTCCAATAAGCGCCATTGGGACTTTTTCCCAAAGCAGCTTCTGGAACTCGAGAAACGCTTGCTTTTCGGCCTCTTTGCCGGAAGGGTTTCCTTGAACAGCCACCGGCCTTCCCTGCTTCTCCCATGCCTCCCGCATGTCCTCAAAAGCGGCCTTCTGTGGACGTTGCATAGACATCATGTGTCTTGTGTTCTCCGCTAGACTGACCTGGAAATACCCCGCAAAGTCTTCATTGGAGAACTACACGACTCTCGCTGGCCACAAGTGCATCTTTCATAATTTGAATAGTGGCTCACCATCCAATTCCTTCACAGCAGCCACGGTGTGTTGTCCATTCACGGGGTAATAGAAGTATTTGTCCTTGTCCTCTGGCTTGAAGACATCCTTGTGAACCTTCCGAGCTCTCTCCGGCTTTTGCGTCACCGGCTTGTAGATGGGAGCCAGAACCAAAGCGTTTTCGTCCATATCTTTCCCTTCTCCTCGCGGAACTGCCTTAGCATCGCATTCTTGATGTCCTCCACACCATCCCAAGTGAGACTGTGGTGATTATAATAGCTTTCCCACAGCGGGATATCGCAGACCTTCCTGGGGTCGATGACCAGTTGAATTGGGTGCTCCTTCTCCACGATGTCACCATCATCGTTTCGCTCGTATTCGAGCCAAAACGTCGTCGCTTCATCTTATTGCCTAGCAACCGCCCTTTCACTACCACTCGTCCCCTCACCTGTCTTCCTCCTCTGAGCTTTCTTCTGCCCATCGCCTTCTACAACTGCCAGTTTCCTTTTAGATTTCTCGAAAGGTTCTCTCGTGCCAGTAATGCCTTGACGAGTCGAATCTCCTTCACCATAGCTTCCACTGCTTGCCCTTCGCCGATGGTCAAACTGCCGGCCCTCTTCGTTTTCTTACGTGTTGTTTCAGGTTCTTGCTTCGACTGCCTCTTTTTGACTTCTTCTTCTTGTGCGCCACGCATCCTTGGCGTCCTTTTTCCCATGGCACGTTGGCCGACATCACCTTCATCCTCGCCAATCATTGACTCTGAGGATCCTTTCATCCTCTTCATATATCTGGTTTGCTCCGCCACCTCGTCTCGTACAATCTTCTGTCGCTCGCGCTTCTTCCGAGTCTCCGAAGAAGTCGACTCCCCTCCAGAGCTGTCGCGCACAGCGCCCATTCCTCCAACCTCTTGTCATGAACTGTCGGATTGTCTTTTCACCTCATCCCGAAGCGAATATGTGTCACCCTGGCAGACAAACTTGAGGATTTTCGGTGTAGCGACACGATGCATCCCTGCATCTAGAGAAGTCAAGGAAGGCAAATGATCGCCAGACGTGCACCTAGAAGGACTCGGGCCAACTTGCAGCTGACTCCTGCCCGCGTGCCCCACGCCCTGACCTTCGGTGCAGTGAATGATACTCCCGTGCCCCACTTTTGTCAGAGGGCTTTCTTGAGCTAAGCCGGACGACCCCTCAGGGGCTGGTAGAAGCAGAAAAACATAATCTCGCGGAAGAATCGGACGCTCTTTTGGCACCTTCAGTGCAAGATCGACATATTCCACTGGCGGTGGAAGAGGCCTGCTTTTGCCATCGTAAAGCCCTTTGAAGTAATGGCCGCGAAGCATGTTCGAGCCGTACCCCGCGAAATTCTAAATGGAAACCATCACACCCTTGACACCTTTGTAAGGTAGTTTGCACATGTCATAGAAAATGTTACTCTGCAGCTGCGTAGCATGGCGAATGTGTTCGCGCCCCTTCACTCGTTCGCGCGAACAGCTCACGAACATGTTCAGGCGAACATATTTTTTTTTCTGTAAAAATAAATGAATAAACATATATATATATATATATATATATATATATATATATATTTTCGGTTTTTTATTTTTAACTCATGATTGGCTATGAATTTGAACATGACTCCAAGGCAAAAGTTGCTTGTTTTTT